GGTCAATATGATCAGAATAACATCAAGAAGAGTGCAGTCTTGAGATGAAGGAGAGCAATATAGAATAAAGATGCAACATGGCACTGTTAGAACTTTGATATTTTTCAGCTGTTGATGAAATCAGCCTCTCTGAGAGCTACCACAGAGTTCAGGAAACCTGACTACCAGCTGCCCTCAGAACCATAAAACTGAGTTTTAGAGCTGTACCATCATTAGGAGATAATAGAATGAGTTGCCTAGTCATAAAAACAGAGGCACAAGCATAACCCATGCATCGAGTCAAGAAGATCCAGCATTCAACATTCTAAACTGGAAACAATGTATTAAAAATACATCTGCGCCAGGCTAATAGATATAAATATAATTATAAATAAATATAATTTTATATATATAATTAGAGTAGAAAAGAATAAATATAATTATAAAAGATTAATCTGTTCATTGTATTATTTATAGTAATATATATAGTAATATACTTATATATGGTAATATAATCTATTCCTAATGTAATTTTTTTTCATATCTCAGTATTCGGCCAAATTGTTTGCAATATTCGGCTGAATATCAAATATTATAAAATATTGCCAAATACACCAAATACCAAACAGTTGCAGAATATTTTCAATTAGTTGATAGTTCAAACAAACTTCTTGATTAAAATTGATTAATGTTATAAAAATCTTTTTAGTTTAAGATTAATTTAAGTTATTACTTTTAACAAATTTCTTACCTAAAGATTGAACAACTTTAATTAACTTTGTGAATAACTGAAAATTTTTTTAAAATGATAAAATTTTTAAAAACTTTAACATCTAACTACCAAAGTTTAAATATAGACTTACATCAAAAACATTAAAATGATATCAAAGGCAGAGTTTGAAATTCTTTTATCTTTCATGATAATGATGATGATGTTCACAACTATCATCATTATTTTTAATATTATACAGTAACTACCTTTCTAGACATAAAATCTACTAACTTTTCTAGACATCTACTAGCTATTTCTGGTGAATTTGAAGATTTTAACTTAGGTTACTCAAAGTTAAAATTACTTCAAACTTCCTATTTAAGGTTAATTAAGTAATCACTTAAAGTAATACAGGTGGGAACAAAACTTTGTGTTTCTCATTTGCAAATCTAAAGCTCTATAGCTGTACCACTAGAATGCATATTAAGTGCGTGTGTGTTTCAAGATTCTACAATAAAATAAACAAGTTAATGTGAATGTTTAACACTATAGTTTTATGGGTTTCATTATGTTATTATGCTGCTGTGAATTGGTGAAACAAAGTGAGTTAAAATGTAAAAAATTGTTTATTTTAAAGTACAGAGTTTAAGAGGAAGAAAGCATGGTAACAGCTGAAAAACATGAAAGCAAAAGAGAATTCTAAAGCAAGTTTTAAAAACTAGAACAAACACTTGTTTTTTTAACATAAAGAAGTTAAAAAAGAGATAAAAGAGTTAAAGAAATGTTGATTATTGCAAAATTGAGTTATGGTCGATAAAACAAGTGATGATAGCATGTTTGAACATCAAAAATGTTAGTTGAAGCGACAATCAGATGTAGCCTACCTATGAGAGGCTCAGGTAAGATAAGAGTAAGAGGCTCAGGCTTGATCAAAATTTAAGCAGAGGACTTAAATTTAAAAACTGAGTTTTGTTTGTATTAAAATTCATCAGCCTTTGCAAACCCAAAGGTATCACAGAATAGAGACTGTATTAAAGATATCCACCTTAATCTAAGCGATCAAAAAGCAATGATTTTTTTATCAAGAATAGAGTATATAGTTGTGTCATTCGCAAAAAAAAAACAATATTAAAGGTAAGATTATCACAAAAATCACTAATATATCACAAAAAAGACAGAGCCATGAACCAATTTACTGGAAATGAAGAAGTTGTCTTTCAAGAAAAACTTTAATACTGCAGTTAAAAAAATAATTTAAAAATTTTTTTAAATATACACAGATACACCATATGAAGAAAGCTTTTGGAGAAAATTAACATCTAATTCTTAATATAACTTTTCTATCATGTCAAATACTAAATAGATCACAATAGATCAAATAGATTGAAATCAGGATTGATTTTCTAAAAATAAGCAGTTAGATACAAGATGAGATGTATGTTAACTAACAATGCAAATAAACACTTTTTGTAACTGGAATGTTATCTATACCACAAGCTGTAAAGGATTTTAAGTGAAAAACAACTTTAGTAATAGAATGAAAGATTGATTTGGATGTCTAACAGTGGATTAACCTGTTTCTTGGTTATTAAATTGAAAAGATGAATTAGAGTAAATGAGCTAATTTTTACAGAGAAATAAAAGACAAAACCAAATGACAACCAAAAATAAAACTAAAAAAATTTCTAGTTAGCTTTTAAGGTGCATTATCTTAAAGATATTGTTTGGCTGAAAACAGATAAATTAGACTTATAATATAAAGCTGTAAATTATACAGCTGTATCATATAAAACAATAAACTATTTATTTAAAATGAAACTTATTTAGTCATTAAACAACTCACTAATAGCTTTGTTTCTTAAAACAAAACAAAATGTATCTGTTTGATTGTGCTTGTACCTGCAATAGTGGCGTTGTAGTACCCAGTCTGTAGAAATTCAACAATTTTTAAGAAAATCTTGCAGCAATTTTCAATAAAATCTCTGAAGATATGACTATGCACATATCATAAAGCAACTATGCAAAATTTTGCTTCAATTTTGAATTTCAATTTTAGAGATGTAAATATCGGATGTGTAATGGAGGTTTATTGGAATGGAGGTTCAGATGTGTAATGGAGGTGTGGATAAGTAATGGAGGTTTATTGGAGCCAGAGGTTTAAATATCAGATGTGTAATGGAGGTTTATTGGAGCCAGAGGTTTAAATAAAGACTTTAAATTCAGAGTTTATAAACAACTTTTAATAAATGTTTTAGTTTAACTTTTTACTATCAAAACAAAGTTGTCATGAATCAAAACTCTGAAGTACGATAGAATGCTTTTTCATTTTTCATTTTTCATTTCATTAGATTTTTTTGCATTTTCACATTTTATCTTCATTATAACTTCCAATTTGAATTGTCAGAAAAAAATCAATCAAAACCAATTTAACATATTGAAGCAAGAGTTAAAGCTCCATAACATCTTTTTTTATATATGCATTTTTAAATTATAAATACTTGGTAATCTCACTTAACTTTTTATACTGCACTCACCTCCCCAAGGCTAAGACAGTCACTACAGTGAAGTAGGTTAGTCTTATTGTTTTCATTTTTCATACAAATCCCTTTCAAAACTATACCTCTGAAACACAAAACCTTAAGAAACAATACCAGTGCACAGACAAACAAGGATTAGGACAACTAATTAACATTTTTTAAACTATGTATTAAGTTTTTAAAAAAAACTCAAAATAGTTTAACTCTTGAAATATGAACAAACTTGTGTTATTCATACAGTATATTATTACTGAGCATTGTTGAAAAAATTGCTTTAAAGCAACCAATAAAATGGAACGAGATAAACAAAATTTCTACTAACAATGACTAAATAAACAACTATTTTAACTAATAAAAATGCAAATTTAATAAAAAGAGGTTAATAATTATTTAATGATATTAAAGTAACATAAAATTAAATATTTATTGAAAAATATATATATTTAAATTTTGCAAAAATTACTAAATGCAAAATAAAAGACACCCTTTTTAAAAAAAAAAACATTAAAAAAAAGTTTGATGCGTATTATTCTTAAAACCTGGCACAGTGTTCCCACTGCACAGTGGTCCATATTTATTTTCTTTGGTTAAAAGTACTAAAAATCTAAATTCTTCTAACCATTTTTATTTTATTTTTGTAACAGTTTGTAACAAAATCCTTCACTCTCCTCAAAACCTCAATTTAATTATTAGGTATAAAGTCGAGCTCGCCAGAACCTTTTATAATAGGTTGAAAAATGTTAGGTTTAATAACTTTTTTAAATTAAAAGTTTTATATTATTTTTATTTCAAATGTAACATTTTTTTGGTAATTAACTATATTAAGTTTATTTAAATTTTGTCTTAAAATTGTTGGTATTCTCTCTATACATTTTTTAAAATTTTAACTTCTTCCTTCTTTTAAATTCTACAAGTAGACTGTTTCATATTATAACTTTTGCATTTACTAAACAATAGAAAATGTTCAAGAAGAATACAGCTGCAACCGCATATAATTTATGATATATTTATAGGTTCAAATAACTTTTAGGTTTTTTAAAAAAAGACTGATTTGAAGTTAAGAAATTATTTTCATAAAAGAAGAATAATTAGCTTCTTTAAAAATAAATAAAAAATAAAAAATGCCAACAATTTTAAGACATATTTTGAATTAACTAAATATAATTAATTACCTAAAATACACATTTTTTAGAAACACTAATACATTTATTTAAAATAAAAATTTTTAATTTAAAAAAGGTTACACAGATTTAAAGTTAGCTGTTAAACAAATAAGAAAAAAGCAAAAACCTAACATTTTAAAAGTCATTATAAAGAGCTTGACTTTATATATATATTAATTAAACCAATACAGTTTTGAGTAAAGTGAATGACCTATGTTGCAAAATTAAAGAAAAATGTTTAGAAGAATTGAGATTTTTAGTACTTTTTTTTTTTGGGAAAAAAAATTTATGTAATAAAAAGTAGTTCTAATATTAAAATTTTAATTGCAAAAAGATTTAAACTCATTAATTTTAATATTAATTTATTTTATTTAAATCAAAAACCTTTTGAAGCTTAATGAAAGTAATACTATCAACACTGAATTAACTAATATTCAAATTACTGAATTAACTAATATTCAAATCACTGAATTAACTAATATTCAAATCACTGAATTAACTAATATTCAAATCACTGAACTAACTAATATTCAAATCACTGAATTAACTAATATTCAATATCATTTTTATCATACTTTTTAAACAAAGCACACTGAAATCTGAAATTACCTTTACTAGCAGAAAATCCAGAAGGCATTTCAGGTGAACTTGAAAGTTCTAAATGATAAATTAAAATTTTCCAAACAAACAAAAACTTTCAAATTAAGTATAGATAATCTAAATAAACCTATCTTTAGTTTATATTTCTTTTTTAAGGGATTAGAACCTCAAAAAAGTTCCAAATCTGAAACTTCTCAGAACCATTAAATTGAGAGGTTCTAGAACCCGGAACCTGAAAAGGCTTCTAGAACCTGTTTTGAACATAAAGTTTTGGAAACTTTTTCTCAGAATTTCAATTTACAGGGTTATAGAACCCTATTTGGAATATAAGATGTCTGGAACCCCTTTCTCAGAACTCCAATTTGCAGGTTAGAACCCTTTTTTTTCTTAAAGGGTTCTAGAATGATTTTTTAGAACCCTATTTTTGCTGATTTTTTGGAACCCTATTTTTGCTCTGAACTCTCTTTTTTAGCCAAGGTTTTGCATTAAAAAAAATAAAACCTGCTTTAGGTTTTTTTTTCAACTTGGAAATGTTTTTGTTTTTAAATTTGCCGCTTAAGTCAATTATAAAATTATTCTTTTACCCTGCTGTCTTGCTATGTAATGTATCATATTCTTTTACCCTGTTATCACGCTAATAATGCATCATGTTTCACAGATAATCAAATAAAATATTAAAAATATTTTAAGCATTGCAGATGCTTTTCAAGCATTTTAAAAAATTATTGAAAAGCATCTGCGGAACATAGTAATCGAACTCATGATATTTATGAATTTCTAATGTGGTTATAATCTGAATCATAAAGTGCAAGAAAAAAAAGCTTTCATTTTTTTATTAATTGTATTAAAAGTTTATATAATACAGTATAATATGAGAAGTTAATGTGTTATAGAACAAAACTTGCTCTCTGTTTTTTAATTAAAAAAAAAGGTTAGCAATGCCATTGAGTACTTCATACTAAATTTATTTAAATTATTATTTGTTGGTTTTTTTTTGTTTTTTATATTTTATTTGTTTTAGTTATTTTAATTTGTTGCGGTTACTACTACTTTACCATGTGGTTAAATAAACTAAATTTTACTAAATTTTTTAGTGTCTAATAATATAAAATATTCAATGCAGTTAAATCAGATTTAATTAGCATTGAATACTTTATAATAATAACTTTAATTAGAAAAGTAAAATTCAAATTTAAAAATAAAATAGAAATATATATTCAAATTTAAAAATAAAGTAGAGGTTTGTTTTATCATAAGGTTTATTGGTAAAAACAATTTAGAATAGACTATTCTTTTTTTGTGTGTGCATTTGCATGGATAAGACTTTAATTTTTCCTAATGATACTTTTTGCCCCCATTTTTTTTTTTTTAATATTTCCTGTTTTTATTATTTTTTTAACTTTTATTTATACAAATTTAAATTAATATATACATATTTAATTATTTGCTTTATATAACTTTCTTTTTCATTCAATTAGTATATATAATATTTCATATTTTATTTATTTATACACAAAATTAAATATTTAAAATAATATAAATATATTTAATAAAAAATGAAACCCAAACTCAATCCAACCAGACCCATCAATCAATGCATGCACATTTCCCTTTAAGTACCACTAAATGCAAAACAAAAACAATGTTTATAAAAAATAAATGCACACAGGAGCACAAAAAAGTAAACCATATCCTCAAAAGTAGAAAATTAAAAGTATAAAACTGAATTTATTTAAAACATTACTCAGAGTTTCACAACAATAAATATTGTAAATCTTAAAAACAACAAAATATATACATACATACATATATATATATATATGTATATATATATATATATATATATATATATATATATATATATATATATATATATATATATATATATATATATATATATATATATATATATATATATATATATATATATATATATATATATATATATATATATATATATATATATATATACCAGCCCTCGGAATTTGGAAAATTGAAGTCGACATTTGCAGACCTTAACCTGTTAGGGGTCGGCATAAAAAATTTTATTACAAAGGCTTTACTATAAAACATAAAAATGAGGTCGGCAATTTCTTGCTAACCTTAAACACTTCTAGGTCAGCAGTTAGGTCAGCATTATTAAATGCCAACATTAATTCCAAGGCTGCATATATATTTAGGCACATTTATAAGTTATAATAAGACACTTAGAAAAAACATTCAATTTGTTTGTTTAATAAAATAAACTGAGATCAAATTGAGATCATAATTTTCAATAAATCATAGAATAAACTTGGTCTAGGGCATCTCCATGTGGTCTCAGGAGTCTCCATGTGACAATATTATTTCAGCTCTTTTTTAAATTTCCAAATAAATTTGAAAAGTATAAATATGTATTGAGATATAAACAAAAAATTTTTAAAAGTCTTATCAGTGCAAATGAACACACAAAAATAGAATAGTCTATTCTAAATTGTTTTTACCAATAAACCTTATGATAAAACAAACTTCTGTTTTATTTTTAGGTTTTTTTAAATTTCATCAATTTATTTCTGTTTTTGAGTCTAATATTAGTTTTGTGATTCTATCTAGATTTTTTAATCTGGTTTGTTTAATCATTGATTTAATTTATGCACGTCCTTGGGATTTTCCTTTTTTTAGTTTATAATTATATTAAAAGTTTTTTTCTGCATTTCAGTTTTAAAATCTAGCCACTTAAGTATTAAAAAAAATTTTGAACTGGTCTAATAAATATTGAACTTAAAATTTTTAAAAATCCCTCCAAATAAATCTTTCCTTCTATGTTTTGACATTAATAAACAGCAAACTTTATGTATTTAGGTGTTCTGTTTAAATGTTCTGTTTAAATGATTATATTTGTTTAGATGCACCTACACTCACCCTTATCTCTAGTTATTTTTAAATGTTATACTTTTCTTAATACATTTCCAAAATATCACGACCAATGTTTTAGAATACTGTAGGAAGTAGCTCCTTTTAATTACTAATGGTCAGATCAGGTTCAGGATCATCACGATCACCCTGCTACTGGTAATAAGTAACCCAGTACTACCTGTCCAATGCCCTGCTGTTTTGTAGAGTGTGCTTTTTTAGGCAAAGGCTAAGAAAAATAAACTCCAACTTAAAAATCTCCTGCCTTGGGGCTCTTGGTTGAGTAAAGGCTAGAGATGGTGTCTCGATAAAAATTCTCATTTTGGGGAGATGTTAACTGCATCAAGCTACTGTTTTTAGTAGGCCTCCTAGGTAAAGACTTTAGGGGTAAGCAGAATAATTTTGCTAACCAGCCTCAAACCCTTTTTTCATCTATTAGACTGGCTTAGATGTAAACCTGTGTTACATTGCTTCCTGCCTAAGATGATGAATGCTGGAGCTTCTTGATTGTTATCCTAGGCTTTTGCTTGTGCCTCCTTGATAGTGGCTAGCAACTCTGTTATCTTCTAATGAGGGTATAGCTCTAAAACTCAGTTTAATGGTTCTGAGGCCTGCTGGTAGTAAGGTTTCCCGAACTCTGTGGTAGCTCTCAGAGAGGCTGATTCCATCAACAGCTGCAAAATATCAGAGTATTAACAGTGCCATGTTGCTCATGGATAGTGTCCCTGTTAATCGTTTTGGTGTGCATGTTACGACTCGAGGTTAATTAAAAGGACTAAGGGTTAATTAACAGGACTGAGAAAATTGCATCGCACATTGCTTTCGGAGGCTATGCTCTATCTATGAATGAGTCAAATTCTCTTTGAATTTAAATCATGCCAAAAGTAACCCAAAAAAACGCATCAATTCACCTATTTGTTGTGAAACCACATTTGAATCCATTGACCATTTTCTTTACCCCTCTTTCTTTACCACTCTGCTAATATTGTTGCTAATGGTGACTTTAATGCTCATCACACTGTATGACTTGGCTCTAACACCACTGACCCTGCTGGCACTAAAGTCTATAACTTCTGCATTTCTCAATCTCTCACTCAGATAGTTAATTTTGTGACTCGTTTTCCTGACAACCCTAATCATTTACTTTTACTTGTTGATTTATTTCTGGTCTCTGATCCTAGATTGTGTTCATTTTCTTATTTTTTCCCTTTAGGTGGTTCTGACCATGCAATAATCTCTTTAAATAAATTTTATCTCATATTTCCTTTTCGAACTCACCCTGCACCACTTATTACTCTCCTAAAGCTGACTGGATTCTATTTGTGATTTTTTTCGTGACGGTCCTTGGGCTGATGTCTTTTCCCTCTCAGCTGAAAAATGCGCCTCCTACTGATTCAGGCAGGAATGGAAGCTTTTATTCCATCTCGTTGGTTCTAAGTCGACTGTCTTGAAAACAAACGACTATTTATTATTGCAAGAAATTAATGTAAAAAGGTGCTGTCAGATGCTAAGCTCCATAATTCTTAACCACTAAATCTCGTATCTTGTCTTAAACTTTTCTTTTTCTTTAATTTGTAGATGAAGTTTGGTAAGCTAAGAACAAGCTAGCTTCAGATTTATTGAACATCCTAAGAATAATCTTAGTCAACTACACTATTTCACATTCAAATTCATTGCAAATTAAGATAAAGCAGCTTTTAAAGACTTGTTTAATTTCCAATCAGATCTTACAATGTCATTACCATAAAAAAAAACTAAAGCACTAACAAGTTTCATTCTGAATTCTAAAGACTTCAGTTTAGCTCCTAACATTTTGTGAATAACTTGTACATTAAATATGGAAAGATTAATGAGATGAAAATAAAACTTCTTATACCACTTTTCACCTTTTTACCTTCACAAGTGTAGGAGGTGGTCATTTGATCACTAAGATCATTCCCACCCATGTTGCTATTGTAAATATGGATAACAGTTGTTACTTCTTTCACACCTTTACATAAGACTATTTATGTGGTATCAGGTATGCAGGTAGTCACCATGTAAACATCACGTTTATCCTTCCAATGCATTATCATAAATTGATATCCATGCTGATGAGAAATTTCTGTGTCAGCACCAAGGTAAATAATTTGATTCCAGACATCCTGTTTTACCACATGCCAATGCAAAGGTTTTAATACCAAAGTGTGCACTTTTTGATCATATTGATTGTTTAAAGCTAAGTGGCCCTATCAACAGCAGTAATGATTCATCTATGTATATATCACACCCTGGTTGTAACTAATTTTCCAGTGATTAACAATGTACTCCTGTATGAATTTAATTTTTTTACTTTTTGTAACTCTTGTCTAAAAAAACTAGAAATGTCTGCTTTTAGTATAGTACATATGCTATTTAGGCTTTTAAATAATACCACAGCAAGCTATAATTGCAAAATAAAGGTGTATGTTACAAGATGTAAACATAACTCCACTATTAATGAATTTGAATATAAGAGAGCTTCTTTAAATATTTTATCTCCTGTCATTTGGTTAAAGTAAACGTTAGTTTGATCAGCAATGTACTCACAAAGTTCATTTGTAAAAATATATTCTAATAATTTAAGAGGGTCTGAGTTTTTTATATCTTCGTTAATTTTTTCTTTAGAAATAAAACTAAATTGTCTCATTCCTTCTTTAGGAGGTTTTATAGCCAATTTAATTCCTCATAACAACTACCTTTTTTCTTTTTTAGAGCTGGTACCTTTGTTATATTCTTGATATCTTGCTCAATTGACAAAATATTCTCATTAAAATCATCTAAAACTGCACTGTTATCACTTAAACATATTTCCTCATCTTAGTAAACAACGAAGGTTGACTTTTCTATATGCGGTTTTATATTCCACGCGGTCTTTTAAGCAAGATCTGCAAGCAAATTTGAGTTGTTGATTAAAGTTGATATATTTTTATTATTATTCGCCAAGAACTGATGTTGTTTATTTATTTATCAATGTTTTATTTGTTCTTGATTATTTTTATTTATTAATTTTTCTTTTTTTAGTAGAAGATTTTAAAAAATAAAAAATGACTGGTAAAGTAGTTTTTTTAGTACATTATATTTTTATAACAGTGATTGTTTTTAGAACAACTATTGTTTTATTTTTCAGAACAATTCGAAGCAATAGAAGACCTATTTAGTAAGTTTAATTCATTTTATTATTTATATTTTATTTTTTGTTTGGAGAAGGATTAATGAGAATAAAATTTTTTAGACAGGCAAGCTGACAGTGAAATAAGTATGTTTTATTATTTATTAACTAAATTATCAGATTAGTTTCAAGTAGGAATACCATTTTCTCTAATAGCTATTGTTTCAATTTATTGTTTAACAATTACATTATTAAATTAACAAATACGTTTTTATTAAAGATTATTTTTGTTTTGATTTTATTGCTTAATTTTTATTTTTTAGACAGACAGATAGATCTCAGTAAGTTTATTATTTCTGTAGATTTGAGAGCAGTAAGCTTCTTCTTTATCTCAGCTTTTTTCATTGAAATAGCATTATATCATTAAATATGTTTTATATTAGGCAAATATACATTTTTTCATTTAGGTATTGTTTCAGCAACTTTTACAAATGGTGATGTCTTTTATTTTATTAAACAAGAAGAGAGATTTATTTGAATATTTATTGTTTACTTGAACATTACTTATTATTTATTGTTTATTTGAACATTGCCATTTATTGTTTATTTAAACATTACCAAAATAGCTTTTTTTATTTAATTTTTTTTTATTTAGTTATTTCTTCTGTAACATCAACCTCCCCAGGTTAATTTATATATTTAATTTTTAACAATAAAAAATGTTTATTACCATCATGCTTAAATAAATTATCTTTATTGATTTATTCATTTTATTTAGTAGTGTCATCTGCAGCATCGACCGTCCCAAGTAACAATACATTTATTTTGATTTTGTTCTTGAAAAATTTGCAATAAACATTCTTTATTAGAACATTATCTTCAGGATTAAACAAAATATATATATTTTTAAACATTTATATATTTTTCATTTAGTTGTTTTAACTGCTTCATCCGCCACTTCTAGTAACTTGATACATTTTTTTTTTTTGATTTGTTACTTGAAAAACATTTTATTTCGATTTGTTACTTAAAAAAAGACAAATAATAAATATTGTTTATTTCAACATTATAATCAGAGTTAAATTGCCTTTTTTTATTATGTTTTTTATTTAGCTGTTTCATCTGCATCATTAGTCTCTTCAGGTAACTAATTATTATTATTTTTTTTATTTTTTGCTTGGGTCAAACATTTTCAAATCTTTATATTAGCATGTCAATATTTTTAGTTATCAATGAAGTATCAAGTAAGTTATATTAGTATTCAGATTTCACTTTTTACTTTTATTAAATAACAAATTAAATAAAAAGTTTTTTTTATTTATTTTAGCTCCAAGGCAACAGATTGGTAAGCAAAAATATATCATATGTTTTTATCTCCCCAAAGCTTGGTAGGCTGTTACAGTTAAGGATGCTACTTTAATTGGGGATGCAACCCTTTCTCAACTTAAAATTAAAATTTTAAAACACAAACATTGCAAAACAAGGCCGCTGTGCTAAGAAACAAGTTAAGTGTGGTACTACCAGGTACATTTGACCTTATAACTATACCACTATACACAATAACCATGTAAAGTTAATATATTTAACAGTAAATAAAATAATGTACTTACCAATATATAAAATTATATATTAACCAATGTATATCTTATGATGAATATTCTAAAATATATCATTCAAGATATATTTAAGGAATTATATAAAATTTTCAAGTTTTTTTTTTAAGTTCTTCTGCAAAGGCGAGTTGGTAAGTTGTACATACTGTTTCCATATTTTTAAAGGATATAATTTTTTCATTTTAATAATATTTTTAACATTTTTATATATATCTTTGTTACATATGTTAGGAAAAAAAAATCAAATGTTCGGTTAATTTTTTTTTTATCTAGATGAATTGTAAACAAACAATATTTCCAATGGTGAAATTTTATCATGTCTTTTCTAAGTGTTTTTATTTATCTTTTAGCAAGAAAGATAAATCTGTAGATATATGTTTATTATGCTTAGGTATACAAGCTAAAACCCCAAACGGTAATTTTAAATTCTTACTTACAATACTATTATCTGCTTTAATGAAGTAAAAACTTGACTATAAATAAAAGAATTAAGAAAAAATGATGGAGAACATTTTCTTTATTCTAATTTTGCTCCTTCAGTTAAATTTATTAAAGAATAAATTAATTTTTATTTTTAAAACTTACATATGAAGATTACAAGCGTTATCGAGTTACCAAGCCTGGTCCTTTGACCCAAAAATCATTTCGAAGATGGGTACAGTATGGGAGATCACCCATCATTTAGATGGGGTGGTCAATACTCCTCATACAGGGGTCGAAGGACCGGGGGAATAATAAAAACTTTCATGTCTACAATTAGAATATTAGTAGACATGAAAGTTTTTATAAATATGCATGTGTGTATATATATATTAGTGATGTACCGATATCACTTTTGTGGCCGATGGCGATACCAATGCCGATGAATGAGAAAAGCACGATACCGATGAATTAACTAATTATTAAAAATTTGAAAATATAAAACCATACAACTTTAAATTGGTATTGGTAAACAAATACTTGGACTCAAATCAAAGCCAAATAATTGTTTTTAAAAGATATTAGAAAAACTCAGTTAAAAAAATATACATTTTAATTTTTTTCCACTATGAAAAAAAAAAACTTTCAAAAAAATAAATACAATTTTAGAGGAACACTTTTTTATTTTAATTTTAAAAAAAGAAAATATGCATATGCAGTTTACTAAAAATTCTTTATTAATTTATTAGTTAATTTATTTATTATTATTAATTCAGATATCTAAACAACAATCATATGTTGTTTAGACATAAATTATTTTTAGATAAAGAAACCGTTTTTAGAGTTATTTCAATTTTTAATGTTGGATCCCCACCACGTCCCTGGTAATACAGCGCTTAACTTGTTTCTACACGCAGCGGCATTGTTCATCAAGGTTTGTTTTTCTGAATTCTAAAGTTGAAAATGGGTTGTAATCATAACTAAAGTATAGTCTTCAATTGAAGGGAGGTGAATTGAAATAAAAATATTATAAATTCAGAAATATACTTCATACTTGGCTATACTTAAATTCATGAAATAAGGCAGAACTATTTGCAAAAAAATTCTCTTCTAATCTGGCTTTCGAATCTTATGGCCATTCTCTTCCTTTCATTCTAATTAAACAAGTTAATCTAATGTTAGACACTTGAATCATTTCAGTTTCCATTACTCATAGTCATATCTCGATTAAACTCTCCTATGACTTGTGGTCCAGACAACATTCCTGTCAACTCTCTTCAATTTTCTCTAAATTATTTCATAAGTGCTTGACTGAATCTTGTTTTCCTGCCTGCTGGAAAATGGCATTTTTTGTTCTAATTTTTAAACACTCTGGTAAACTTACTGACCCCTCCGATTATTGTCTAACCAGTCTTCTTTCTGTTATTAGCAAGGTCTTAGAGTCTTTGATAAACAAATTCCTCACATTCCATCTCAAGTCAAATAACTTACTATCAGACAAATAACTATTGTAGTACTGTCGACATTCCTCTAATAATGAATGGCAACCCTCTCACTGATTCCACTTCTTTACGTCTTCATGGATTATCATTTACTACTGACTTTTCATGGAAACCATATATACAATTGATTGCTAAATTAGCATCTGCTGAGGTTGCTTCTTTTTATCATACTCACCATTTTCTCTCTCCTGATTCCATGCCCTACCTCTACAAATCTCTTATTCGTCCCTCTATGGAATACTGTTATCATATTTTGCTGGTTTTTCTAATGATGCTCTTTCTCTTCAAGATAAGGTTTAAAAACGCATTGTAAACAGAGTTGGACCCGGTTTATCTGCAAAGCTTGAGCCTCTTTGCCATCATCGTAAAGTTGCATCTCTTTCTCTTTTCTACAAATATTATCATGGTTGCTGCTCAAAGGAGCTTTCATCTTTAGTTCCATCAATCAAAACTCATTCTTACTTGACTTTACATTAAAGTCTCATTCTTCGACTGTATGTCTCTTCATGCTCCAAAAACGTTTATTTGTCTAGCTTATTTCCACGCACTTCAACCCTTTGGGACTCTGCCCCATCTTCATGTTTTCCTGACTCATACAACCTTCAACTTTTTGAATCTTTTGTCAACCACTTCCTTGCTCTATAACTCTACTCTTTTTTTCTAGCAGCTCCCAATTGATGTGGTTGCTTGAAACCTTATTGAGAGTGAAAAAGAATTAAAAATATATAGATAACAATGCTTAAATAGGTTACTTTTAGAGCTTTTGCCTGTAAACAAAGTCAAAATAAAAATTTATCCAAAAAATTCTAAGTAATGCACAAAGTTTAGTTTATTTATTATTTAATTATTATAATAATGCACAAAAAAATAATGCAGGATAAAAATATCAAAATGCCATCGGTTGGAAAATCGGTGAAAAAGGCCGATGCCGATACCGATGGTGCAAAAAATGGCCGATTTAGCCGATATCGATACCGATTAATTGGTACATTACTAATATATATATATATATATATATATATATATATATATATATATATATATATATATACACAATTTTTTTTTTTTTTTTTGTAAATAATTTTTCTTTTCTTTAACAGTATGTAAGTGTATATATATATATATATATATATACATATATATATATATATATATATATATATATATATATATATATATATATATATATATATATATATATATATATATATATATATATATATATATGCACACATATATAACGTTTGTATATATTTTTTGTTGTTATTATTTATTTTGTAAATAACTTTTGTTTTTTCTAACAGTATGTATATTATATATTGAAAAAATGAGGTCGGCTATTTATTGCCACCCTTAAACTGTTTGAAATCGGCAATAATAATTGACACAAAGAAATTAACGTAAAACATCGAAATGACGTCTGTGCTTTTTTGTTGACCTTATACACATTTAATTTGGCATTGACGAATGCCGACCTTAATTTTGAGGGTTGATATATATACATATATATATATATATATATATATATATATATATATATATATATATATATATATATATATATATATATATATATATATATATATATATATATATATATATATATATATATATATATATATATATATATATATATATATATATATATATATATATATATATATATATATATATATATATATATATATATATATATACATTCTATGATTTTGTTTGATTTTGATTTCAAGTTAAAATCAATTCAATTTTTTTCAAACTTTACCATACTTAATAAACAAATTTTTATGAAAAGTTTTGATTTTTATTAAACTTTAATTTCTTCACTTTCAATTCGGTTTTATTGAGATCAGATAAATCTGATAATCTGTGTCTAATGTTCTTTTGTATATAGGTTTCATTTTTTTCTTATTAGCCTATACATTGTTCTGTTTGCACTCACCAGCTATTGTTAGTGGTGATTTTGTAAAACTGTAATCAGCTTTTTACATAGTCGCATAGAATTTTAAACAACTAGCTAAGCAAGTTTAACATTATTTTTTAGTGCTTTTTAGTTACTTCAATACACTTTATTGTTGTTATTGTTATTAGAAGGGTTAATATAACAACATTTTTTAAAAATGTTAAACTAATATTGATTTGGGTAAGTTTACAAATCAGTTTTGATTTTAATTAGAACTTCGTTTAAGTATTTAACATGAAAAATTTCAAACTGTTATACATTTACATTTCAGTATATTTTATACTTTTCAGTACTAATAGCTATATTTCCTCCTAGAAAAAGTAACAGAAAAAATGAAAAAACTTTTATTGGAAGTTGTTGTTGAAAAAAAAAGATTTTGCTTCTCTATTTTTCTTAGTTTAAAGTGTTATGCTTCTCTTTAAAAAGGTATTAAAATATGTTTAATGTAATTCATAAAAATCTGTTCTCTATTTTTTTTTTTTTTTTTTAATTGTTTACTTTACTATAACTTCCTACTAATATGGAATCATGTAATTTTTTTAATATTTTATATTTAATCATCGTCCCTATAAGAAATAAATATTTTTAATTATTTTAATATCGTTTTCTGTACAATAGGCTATGCTTGGCTCTTCAGTCCTGTAGATGCAGCTGTTATAACTGATTTTGAAAAGTGCCTTCAACGTTTACTGTTTTTTAAGAAAAATGTGCTTTATATAGGTTTTTATTTTATTATTTTTGTTACATATTTAACTATATATCATATAAATAAATTTGTTTTTAAGATATGAAAACGTAAGACTTGCTTTTTTATCGACTTTTTAAAAAGTGAACACAAGTTTAAATATACATATATACTTTTTTACAACTGTTTTATATGGTTTTAACATCTGTTTTATAACTTTTTTAGCTCATTAGGGATCATCCATAAAATACTTTGAGGGGTAGAGGGGGTCTGCAATTATGGGATGGAAGGGCTGTGGGTAAATTATATAAGAAAGGAGACACTAAATTAAAAAAAAAATCATAAAATGTTAGGTAGGTAGGTTAAAATTTTGTATTCACGTAAGTTAAGTAAGTCACCTAAGCAATTTTTATACGTTGAAATTTAGGTATAATTTTGTGATATTTGTTTTTTAAGCTTTTCACTCATCACTTTTATAAAAATTAAGAAAAATTCTTTTTGTAAAATAGAATTATTAACAACTTAGTTACCTAAACAACTTTCCGCAATTTTAATATAAGACATGGATAATTTTCTATGCATATAATTTAAGTCATAATATATTTAGTTTGTTGTGATTAGCACAAAATGTTCAAACATTTCAAAATAAATGGTTAATTGTATCTTTAAATGAAGCTAAAAGTTATGTTAAGAAGCCGAGAACAATAAAAGTGAGCAGAACTAAAAATATATAAAATAAATTTATATTTCATTAATGATACTAATAACCCGTATTATTAATAATTTATTTATTAACAACCCGTATTACATGTTGCTTACTGCTAGTTAACATAATTATTATTATTATTATTATTATTATCATCATCATCATCATCATCATCATCATCATCATCATCATCATCATCATCATCATCATCATCGCCATCATTATTATCATTATATCTTTATCATCATTGTCATTATCATCATCTGCTGGTGATGATGACATAATCAGGCTTTAGCCTTCCTCTTTTATGCTGTTTCTCTAATCATGGTCAATGCTCAAACTAACAATCATCTCTATTACAATAAACCAAAACTCATTCTTGCTAGGCTTCTTATTCAACAAGTTGAACCCTTTTACTGTATCTGTCCCTATTTATTAAATAATAGCATAAAGATATGCCAGAATTAAATATAATAGTAAATGTATATATAAAATTATAATATATAAAGAGTTATAAATTTATTTCTAGCCCCGGCTGTCAACCCCTGCTAAATATTATAATTTTGCCGGGGCCAGATTTGCAAAAAGTCTCATTTTTAGCCAGGGCTGGGGCCCCGGTCAGTTACTACCTCATCTGTCTCTGATTCAATTAAAAACTCTATTTCACTGCCAGATAAGGATTTTTTAAACAAAAAAAGATTAGAATCTTTTTCCAAAACAAAATTTTAAACATCTTGGACAGAAATTGAACATTGTTTAGCAGACATATTTTTTATTATTCCAAACACAAGTTTTGTTTACTAGTTCCATAGAACATTCAAGAATCATGAAATTAAGGGTTGAAGGGTGTATGACTAATTTTAAGGCAAACAATATAAGTAACACCTTATCTCAGTGTGTATTATCAAGGTGGTGCTGCTTAATGCATAAAAAGGCCCTCCATATTATTACAGTGTTTTGTCTTTAAGGGTTAAACAGCAATACTATACTTAAATAATTTATGTACAAATTTTTTTAGAATTTGATTTTATAAGTTCTAAAGATTGTTGTTTTATGTGTCCTGTTCAGAAACGTTTAGTTATTTTTGAACTCTTTTACTAAAATTAGTAAAAGAAAAGCAGCAAACAATTTAAAAAAATAAGAGATATCAAGAAAATGTCTTCAATCCCCTCCATAATCCTGTGTTTGAATATGTGAACTGATACTAGTTGTGCAACAACAACCAAAATGAAACAAAAAAAGTATTTTTTAATTTAACTTTAAATTTTAATTTTTTAATTTAATTTAAATTGTATTTTTTAAATGTTATTTTGAATCAGGTATTTAAAAATATTTACAAATTAAATTTGATTTTTATTTTTAAATTTTGTTCGAGTTGCCATTTAAATAGAGATTAAGAAAAAATACATTATTAAAAAAAAATTTTAATGAGAAAAATTTATTTTGTTTCAATAAAAAAATCAAATGTTTCATTGTATAATTAAAAAATATTTTAAAAATCATCAAAAAATAATTACTTGTGAACTCATCTATTTTTCTTATTAGATCCATTCTATTCATGTTTTTCAAAGCACTTTTTAACTCTTCAAGTGTTGGATTGGCATTCATTTGCATCCATTTAGTTATCATTGAATATGCTTTTTCATCAGTTTTAGTATTATCTTGATCAATCATATCTAAATAGTTGTCTTTAATATTTAACCAACGCCCAAGAGGTCTCCAATCTACTCCAACAATATCACTAAATTTTAATTTGAACTCTTGACAATATTTTTTTCATCTTTTCTTAAACATTTATTATTTTGTGCCATTCTGATGTTTCTACAATTTCTACAAAAAAAAAAAAAGAAATATATATATATATATATATATATATATATATATATATATATATATATATATATATATATATATATATATATATATATATATATATATATATATATATATATATATATATATATATAGTACAGGCACAGAACAGAAAAACTTAAATTTTAGTTAATAGAAAAATAAACTTTAATTCCTTGGAAAATGGTATACTTTTTTTTCAAAACAATATATTAAACATTAATAAAGATTTCCAGAAAGTTACAGAATTGCGCTATGTATCAGAGTAATAATTGAAGGCAGTGGAGCTTATTGCTCCACTGCCTTCAAAATCAAGTTTTTCAACTTTTTTTAATATAGAACAGGAAAAATCACACATTTTATAGCTACTAAATTTTAATGTTTACGTTTTATCATTGCCCGAGAACATCACGTCTTTTTAAACATTACGTCATAGGAATGCGGGATGCGTCACTGATCTCTATAAATAACACGGGTTTACAGTTATTATTGAGATTAGTGGATGCGTCTACTGTTTCATAAATGATCAAACACTAAAGTCACTCAATTAAATGCTTCTGAGTATTTCGAGTAAAATATTATAATTCTAAAACTTATATTAAATATATTTTCAATGAGAAATAGCAATCAGTAAATATTTTTAGCTAGAGTATATATACTCTAGCTAAAAATAATTATTTAAAAGTAATTATTTTTAGCTGGAGTATATATACTCTAGCTAAAAATAATTACATTTCATCATATTTTAGGCTAATGAATTAAAAAAATATTTTTTTATCATTTTATTTTTTTGTGTGATTTTATCGCTACAGTTTATAAACTGTAGTGATATTATCACAAAAAAATAAAATGATAATAATATATATATTTTTAATTTATTGGCCTAAAATCTGATGAAAAGATTTTTTTTATAAAGTGTTTTATAAGAAAATCATAATAGTATGCATATTGCTTTAAGTCCCAAGTTCTAATTGCTAACACAAATAAAAATAAAAAAAATCATGCACAGAAATGGAAAGAGATGAATAAAAGATTTATAGAGGAAGAGGATTAAATAAGGAGTCTGGAGCTAGCGCATTGCGTTTGAATAATCGAAGAAATATTCCTTTTTTATGAGTTTCTAACAAATGAAATTAAATTAAATAAGTTCTTTAACAAATATCTAGAGACAATTTAAGTAGAAAAAAGTATTGGAATGGTAAATATAGTGTTGCAAAAAAACGAGTTTTTTTGCTGTCGCGTTTTTTTCACCCAAAAAAACGTGTTTTTTTGGTTTTTTTGGCGTTTTTTTGGTTTAAGTGTAGGTTTTTTTGGATTTTTTTTAAACTCTTATGGTATATTTGTTTACTTATTTTGTGTAAACAGAGTGTTTAGCCAAAGTGGTATAAAAATATTTATCTTTTTGATTAGAAAAATGGCTAAACAGTTATTTATTTTTTAAAAAAATTTCAAGATTTTTACCTCAAAATAATTATTCATTTTTCTTATATTAAACATGAAAATGATTACCTTTTTTTATTTTGCAAAGCAGTGTTTCATATAATAAATATATTTCTTTCATATAATAAAAATATTTATTTAGATAATTCTGGTTCATTCAATTAAATAATACATTTATTATTATTCAAAAAAAAATTATGGATTAATGAAAAATTTAATGAACATAAGTTAAAGAAGTTAAAAAAGTTGAAATTTAATTTTGTAATTTTAAAACCAGTGACAGATCCAGGGGGAAATGAGAGGTATGAACCTACCACCCCGCACCAGAATCCATAAATTTATAAAATATCTTTAAACTTTTTAAATTTTTTTTAGTAGGCAAAAATGTGATACAAAATAAACTAAATTTTTAACAAGCCCCGATTCATATAATAAATTCTTAAAACAGCTCAATATTAAAAAAGATGCAATTCATAGCCTTTACTTATAAAAATTTACTTCTTTGTCTTTACTTATAAGAATTATTATTAAAAATTATTAAAAAAAAAAAAATTGTTTTTCTAATTAATGCTGCTTTTTCAAATTTTTTTTTTTTTTTTGAATAATTGAACAATTGCTAAACTAAGACAATACTAAAAATATGGTAAATGAAAGTATTAAAACAAGTAATTAATAAATATCACCAAAAATAAATTTTAAAACCATTTCAGTGTTTAAAATGCAAAAAGAGTAGTTTTTAAGGCAAAAACGCAAAAAAACCAAAAAAACCAAAAAACCAAGTCCTCGGTTTTTTTGGCCAAAAAAACGGGTTTTTTTGGCAATAAAACAAGAACCAAAAAAACGACTTACATCTCTAGTTAAATAAGATATCTTTTTTTTTTTATTTTATTAAAAAATCAACTTTTCAACTAAAACTTTTTTGAAGAAATAGGGGAACCTGTTGTACCTTTGAACACTTTTTGCTTTAAGATCTTTTTTTTGTAGTCTATTGAGTAAACTTAAACCATTCAAACTATATAATATTCTCTCATATTTTGCCCAAAAATTATAATTAGAACTTTTTTTTCATTCCACCAAAAATCTTTTTCCCGCGTCTAAAAAATTAGAAAAACCAATCCTTACAATCTTGCAAAGACTTGTGTATCGAAGTTACGATACTCAGTCAGTATTACTTATAGTGTCACTAATTTTTTTAAATAAAATTAGTTATTATAAATATTTAGATAAAGTCACATATTTTTTTTAGTTAAATGCTACTTACATGAAATAATTAGGGTTAAGGTCCATAACTTTAAATGCGATTTAGTTGTACAAAATATGTTTTCTAATATCTAAAGTTGTTTTTATTATTTTAGATTAAAAAGAGCAAAAATATATTTTTATAACTTATATCAGCTGGCGGTCTTCATTTACATATGATCATAATGGCGGTCTATATTCATTTACATATGATCATAATGCTTTTTAAAGGAAATATTTTGATGATGACAACAACAAAAAACAATAATATAAGAGTATAATATATTAATTATTACAAATAGTCAGATCAACATCAAACATAAGATACTGACATTTAGATGAACCACCACCAATACTTGGTGGTGGAAGTTTCATATTAATATCTTCAAGTTCCACTTCATAAAGATTGTCATCTTCTCTTATAAATTTGTAAAGTCTTCTGATTTCTTAAGATGCTTAATTTTGTAAACTATACCAACAACTTCTGTAACTTCTGCTACATAAAGTCTAGATTATTTCTTTCTGACCAACTTGACAATTAAAAAACTTCCGGAAACAATTTCACTTTCATCATCAAGTATATTTACTCCAAAATCAATTTCAGGTTTTTCAGAGCTTTCATCATTTAAGCACGTGTCAAACTGACTAAAAATAATCTGTTTTGCCATTTTTTTTCTTTTGCTTGAAGAGGACTTTTTTAATTGTTGGTTATTAGATTTTGAATCTAAAATAACTTTAATTTCAGGTGTATCAGTTAAAATACGTAATTTTCCCTTACGTCTTTTTGAAGTATTTGTTTTTCTTAATTAAGCTTTAGGATGAGGTCGTATCATCTCAGGTGAAACAATAAATGACTTTGATGGTAAACTCACAGTAAGGATTTCCCTAAAACAATAGATGATGTTGATGGTAAACTGGATTGAGCAGTTTTAACATCAATACTTTCATTAGAAATGCAAGCTTCAATATTCACTATTCTATCAGTAATCTATCAGTAACATTTGCAGCTAAAAAGTCAATATCAGTAAAAATATTTTCATTAAATGGATAAAATCCAGTACATTTAAAACTGTTTACAATATTATTTGGTACAAAAGCATGAGGATAAGCTTGACCAACAAGGTAAGATATATCATAAATTGTAACTGGTTTACCAGCATTACCTGGTGATATTATCCAGTTATTCATGGTATTGTTATAAAAAGTTTTAAATGGTCCAAAAACACCACGATCAAGAGGATACATTTTATGGGTTGTGTCAGGATGAAATGTCATTAAAACTATGCCCGATTTTTTTGCTAACTCAATAACAGAAATGTTTACATGACTCTCATGATTAATAAAAAAAACAGGTTTTTTAATTGATGGTCGCCCATTACTAATAAAATGTTCAAGAAATTGCAGGAAAATGACTTCATTTGACCATCCAGACTTATTAGCTGTTCCTGCACTTCCAGGAGAACAATTATTTAACATGTGGTCTTTGAATTTAGCACATGGAAATACAAGTAATGGTGAGATGCTATTCATGGTCATGCTCCTTATTTGTTTTTTGCCTTTTGGAGCTAGAAATTTTGGTGGTAAGTGAGTTCACGTGGTAATTCCTGTTTCATCACAGTTCCTAATATTTGGTTGATCAAAAGGATAACGTTCTAAAACATTTTTGTAATTTTTATATACAATTTTTACGGTTTCTCTATTGAATGCAGAAGATCTACCAAGACATGTAATTGTGGTTTACGTAGAGATAGCTTGTTATTATATCTTTTGCGAAAATTTTGTAGCCATTGTTCACCTGCACATTTATTTTTTATCCATGAAGTTTCAACTTTTTTATGATTTTCTAAAGCATACTCATATGCAAAGGACCTTATCTGCTTTAATGTCAGTCCATAATGCATATTTGCAGCACCTGCCAAGTAGTTTACCAATATTAATTCTTCTTCTGTTGAGAATTTTTTTTTGGTTTGGTATGTGAATATAAATATTCGCAACTACCAGATTTTTTAAACTGCTTTAACTGGTATATTAAAGTTGATTTTTTAATGTTGCAATGTCTTACAGCTTCACTTAAACTCATTTTTTGTTGAAGCACAAAACTCACTGCATTAAGCATATCCGTTTCGGAAATCTTTTTGCGAAAAACACCAACCTTGCTCCTTGGCATTTTAAGACTAAAATATATTAACAGAATTAATTAACTATTTTTATATAGATATGTAAGGAAAAAATTTCATATTGTTTAAATATTTTACTGTTATATATCATTGGAAAGAGGATCAATACAGTATTTTAA